ACTATCAGATCAATGGCTTTGGTGTAAATATGGCGAGCCAATACCCACAATTGGGTATACAAAAAATCTAGCAGATCAGACGCATGGGGACCTAGGTACACTCCAGAACTTAGTTGCTACCTTTTTTACTACTGCAGTATCGAATAAACTGGCTCACTTACCTTATGTACTGATATGTCTTTACGTAGGCCGGCCGGCTGAACAGCAACAGTTCCAAGATAGAGAATGCGTAGCAACGTGAACTATCTTACACCACAAGACACTAGTATCCACACACTTCACCTGTGAAAAGTACAAGTATCCATACAGTTTTTGTCACAACACAAAACAGAAACGTTTAGGGTGAAACTTGAATGTAGGTACTGATTTTTTGGGTTTTTATAATTTTTAATTAAAACATGGCAGCGAGAGAACTGCAAAACGGAAACTCTCGCGCTCGTCGGTTTCACAGAACCGCGGGGAACGAACGGAACGTTCCTATTGGCTGTCACCTCGCCATTGTCGGGCATGCGCAGAAAAGCTGTGCAGACATTGCGCGCGAGATTTGAGTGAGCCTGTAGCGACACCTATAGGAATATGGAATCGCAACCAAGTTATAGCCCAAACTGGCTTGAAAGCCCCGTTAGCATGAAATCATTGATTTTTCTATACAAAAAAGCAATTCTAATTTGACAAAGTTAATGTACGACCAATTTTTTTACTTATAAAGTACATTTTTGCTTTTATTTCAGTAGTTGTCTTTGGGAAAAATATTAAACTGCACAAGTAGAATTCTCCTTTTATGACGATGCTAATTTCATCTTATACAATAATTTTAATATAAATTGAGATGTTTGCGTTGGTTATTTCTCTTTGACTGTATTCAATATTTAGATATTTCATTGGATTTTTTTTATATTTATTTTTCAAGTAGAAGTATGGTGAAATTACAAGGTACGGAGGCATAACACTGCACTTGTGTAGAATGGTAACGCGTAAAGGGTACCATGGGCTAGATGATATAATCTGTGATGTTCATGATGCTGTTTATGTAAATAGGTTATAAGTTTCCATCAGGTCTTAAGCTTGTTTGCTTGTATCATGTAAAAAATATAGAGAAATTAAATACTAAAAATATAAAGAAAGTACAGAAGCCTAACATATTAGTCCTCAGGAATGGCAACGCTTGGGAGGTATCATAGGTGAAACAATATGCTCTGTTATGTCCATGGTTCTGCTCATGTCTATAGGCAACTTTCCATCAGATGAGTCGTCACTTTATTTGCCATTCTACGTTGCATAAGAAAACAACTTAGGCGAATTTCAAAAAGACATGTCATTTATTTAATCTTGCAAGCCAATGTCAAAAGTTTGAACTGGAAGTTATATATATTGTAATATATATGTGATCCCAGCATACCATAGACTACCCCCTTCCTTTTTCGTGAACAACAACGGTTTTATTTATTTATTAGAACATGTGTGTACATGGCGGACTTAATGCTAAAAGCATTCTCTCCCAGTCAACTATAGGGAAGTGTTAGAATACTCTAGTAATGCGGTACTAGTAATTATTGATATACATACATACTAAAATCACATATATTAACGAATAAATATATATAAATAACAAATATACTTACACATATGAGACATATACTATATTATACACGAAATCAAGAATAATATAAAGTACTTACTCCTACTAAAGTAGTTTACTTAAAATATCACTGGCATTTAATCTAACTTATCACTGGCTTTTATGTATTTTATTTTAATCATTTCTCTTATCTCACTTTTTTATGTTTATCTGTATCTGTTGTAATTTGTGTGCTATAAGAAATGCAAATAAATTATATGACTATCTATCTATCTACATTTCTGTGGTACTCTTCACCTCTCTATCCCCTCTCATCGTTCTGATTTTGTATCAAATTCATTTGTTATACATTTTTCACGGCTCTAGAATGCGTTCCCCGATACCATCAAGAGACGTTCGTGTAAATCGTCTTTCAATAAAGAAGGTGCACGTTCATTTCTACACTTTACTTACCTCGCTTTATACACATCTTGTATTAAAAAGTAAATAAATATAATAATACTAATATATACTAAATACATGTTATTTTATTTTTTCCCCCAAAAAAAACCTTTTATACAGATAAAACAGTTTTAAAAGCTTTTCTGCATACCCATTATATGTTGAAACAATTTTCGAGAGCCCATTTGCATACCTATATATTTATTACCATATGGACTAATTCCTCGTATTTTATATTGATAAAAGGCTAGATATTTCTCATAACTCCGTCTGCGCAAAGACATTATCTTCTATTTCCGTTGTAATTTCCTTGTATTGTTTTGTTTATTTTTGATAAATACAAATTAAATAGAAGATTCTCCGAAAAGGCCGTATTAAAGATTCCTTAGTATTGAAAACGCGTAAGTGATACCTTTAATATTCCATAATTAATTTGTTTGAACTTTTCGGTAACTGTATTATGGGATTATGTCACTAATTGTGAACCGATGTTCACGGTGCAAAATTTACTCTCCTGTTGGTGTTATTTTATTTCCGAAGCAAAAAATTTGGCTCAAAAAAAAATATTTTTGGTGCCCATAAATCAATATGTAGGTACTTTATGCGCGACAAACGCGTCTAAAGTAACAGGCTCGGCTAGTTTAATGTAAATATTGCATTTACAAAGAAATTTAATTATGTTAAATGGAAATTATATTTATTACTTTCAAGAATAACTGAGGTCCGCTATAAATAGCACCCCAACCTGAGATTAAGAGGACTCAATTTTTTTATCTCCAATCATTTTAAAGGACCCTTTTAATTTTTTTCCTGTGCTAATTTAATATTTCCTTTTATCAAAATAATTAGTATAATGGTATACAGTAAGTGTAAAAAAAAATATAAATAAAGAAGAGATTATGGTGATATTTCAAAGTACATTTTATTTTTTATTTATTTATCAATATAAAGTATGTTATTTCAAATTGATTGATGATGATTTTATGATGAATGATGAAATTAGTGATCATATTATATGATCGATATAAAAAAAGATCTAAATCTTTCTCCGCTCTATATAGTACGTGTATACCAAATTTCATAGTGATTGGATAGGCTTTTAGGGTACTATGAGGTAACAAATAAATAAACTCACTTTCACATTTATAATATCAATAAAGATAAAATAATATAACTAAGTAATAAATGTCTTCAAACTTGGTTTTCAAAAGTTTTCAATTATACATTAGCAGATATAAACTGATTTTGATAATTCTTTTTGTAGTCGATATAGTTGTCTTCTTATAGCTTTAAACATAGAGTAATTTTCACAGTTGCTAGGCAACATATTTTTACTAGCTATTTTATTTTAGACTTGAAATGTATTCATATAAATTAGGTATTCATTTTAAATCATATAAATAGAGCATCGAGTATAAAAAACGGGGTCAACTTTTAGTCAGACAAACGTCAAATAGGGTTGGCAAGTTTTTTTTTTTAAAAACAGACTGATTTTTTTGGGTGTTACAAGAAATAAATTAAAAAAATTTCAGATTTTTAAACTCGAATTGAGAATTATTTTCTTGACATAATATATAAATTTATTTATTGTTTACAAATTAATATACATGTATTAATGGCGCCCATTTTTAATTATTTAAAAATGAAAATATATTTTATGTCTATACTCAGATACTTATCATCAAATATTATTATTACTTCAGCCGTTAACTGTCCACTGCTGAATTAAGTCTTCCCTATAAGGGAAATTTTGCCAGTAGTTGCCACGCTTGGCAGGTGGGTTGGCAACCGCAGTTAGGCTTTTATAGATGTTTTAAGAGGGACGCTTCAGCCCATCCCTCGCCGTCTCTTAGTCGTTTCTTACGACACCCAAGGGAAAGGAAGGGGTGACCTACAGGTTGAATACCTGAAAATAATTCATTCTGAAACAAATTAATTTTTAATTTATTTTTTAATAATTAATAATAAGAATTTTGTATCGTTTCTAATTTTTTATTTAAACTTATAATATACATACTTTATTATATATTATAATGTGCTTAACAATAAATCTACATTATAGTAAACTTATTCACGGAAGTATGGATAAAATAGTTGACCTGTTTTAAGGGAAGCATTTGTTTGGAGCGACTCTATGTATATAGTCTAAGGTATTCCTATAACGAAATTATTTGAAATTAAAAATGTTACTACTTTAGAGTCAAATAGTAGCCTGCGCTTTGTGTGAATAAATTTACGGATTCGATTTTTAATTTTTACGTATCTTTTAGATTTTTTTTCTATATACAATTATATTATGTTTTCCAATACAAGATTAGTTGTATTTTGGTCGAGCGAACTTCAAATTCTTTTGTCAATTTTACTTATTAATAATATAATGTGAAATCTTATCTAAACAGGACAGACTAATTCGACCGGAGTTTTGCACTAATAAATTAACAAGAGATAAAACTAGCCGTTTCCTTTCCCATGGTTGTTGTAAGAGACGACTAAATAAATTTAATGATAGAGGGATGTGTAGCAGTGTCCCTTCTAAAGCATCAGCAAAGCCCTGTATAACTGTAGTTTCCAATCCGCCTGTTTAGCGTGGCAACTACTAAGAAAATCCCCCAAAGAGAGATGACTATATTGGATCTGGAATCTGGAAGGTTATTTATGTAAACTTACTTCTCTACAAAATTAATAATTAATGAAATAAATTAATTATAAACAGATCCATTAAAATACCACTGCAATACAAAAGTTTGAATAGCGAAACAATGCAAGAGCTTATTTCCAAATTGAAACCTCATTAAAGCAGACCCGCTTCAGTTTGAAGTTTGTTATTAATTAAATAATTAAAATATAAAAGATTCATTTAAATTACACTGCAATGTAAAAGTTTAAAGTAAGCTTATCATGAAAATGTGAAAAGTGTAAAAATAACTGAAGCTTCAGTATCATAACTCGTACTACGGCGTAGACACTTCGTAGCGTCAGTAGACAGCAGGCTGCTACGGAGTGCGCTCGCTACGCTGTGCGTCCTTACGCTACGATCATTCTATATGAACTCGTAACGGACTTGTTATGAATAATATGAACTGAAATTTACTGTGAACGTGAAATGAATTTTATTAGTCTAATATCGATTTTTGTTGTATAGATTATAAAATAGTTAAGATATAAGTTAGCTGTAATTTTAAGTTCATTTGTGGGATATGGTGCACAGTTAACAATAAATATGAACTCAAAAGAAGATAATAATATTTAGGTGAGTATTTCTTTTTTTACTTACTTGAATTAAATTATGTTTAAATAGTCTTACAAATTATTATTATAAGAAATAAAAATAAGGTACTAGCACTTGTTTGTTGCATTGTAATTTGAAAAGTTTGAATTTTTACGGTTTCTTTCGAACAGACACCGATATTCCGAACCAAATGATAAAATCACAAGAAATTGCTACATATGATATTACATTAATACTGATAGTGTTAAAATTAGTTTCAATAAAAATCTATTTATTTATCTATTTTTTATAATTCTAAAAAAACAATTACGAGTTTAAATAATTCTAAAAAATGTTACTACTGTTATTAAAAAATGTCAATAAAAAGAATTAATAATTATTACATTTTTCTATTAATTTATTTAATTTTTCATTTCAAATTAAATAAATATAATTCTTAAATATAATTTGTGCATAATATGAATTTATCTAAATTGGCGTGAAAATATTAAATTGAAAAAATATAGGTAAGAGTTTTGAAATGAGAAAGATATTTAAAAAAAACTTAGGTATATTTCTTATAATAATAATAAAGTAATTATAATAAAAATTAACAATAATAAACACATACTTCATCACATATTTTTTTAAAAGCACAATCGTTTGCTTCCCCTGTTGAATATAAAGATGTTAATTATAATAAGTTCTACTAATAAATATAAAATACAGACAAATATTATGAATCAGATTATTGTGACCCATTATTAATATAATAATAATAACCGTGACTCGGTGGTATACTACTTTGACTAATATAGACTACAAAGGTCGTTAGTTCGAATCAGGCCGACATCAAAAAATCTGTGTGTATTTTTAAATGATCTCCAGTGATAAAAAACGCTATTAAAATACCAAATAAGTCTTAGAAATGGTGATATATTTGCTCCATATGCCGCAGGATTTTAATATGCTCGGCGAAATATGGGCACGGTGATTATTACTCGTATTCATCATCACAACGGTAACAAATGAGAAATGCTTCTGATTACCCCATAAGAAATTAAGGTCATGATTATATTGATAACACAAACACACAAACAAACACACACACACACACATACACACACACACATATACACACACACGTACATGCACACGCTCACGCACACGCACACGTATACACACACATTATTATTATTTATTTTTTAAGTTAACATGTAGGCTACTGTTTTTTAAATTTTTACTTTTTTATTTTATTTATTGTAGTTTATAGTTATTATTTAGTATTGTGGTTGGTTAGTTGCTAGATACAAACAATTATCTTCGTTGATGTAATAACTACTATACGTTTTGTCTATTTTGGAATCCTGCTATAAGGAGGAGGGCGTTGATATTCGCGACACAGTTTTATACTTCTGCGGATATCATCGTTTTTCAATAATATTGTAACCAATGTTTTTGTTCCAAATAAATTTTTGTTCCAAATAAATTGATATATATAATTTTTCGCAAATACTTATGCTAAATAGAAAAAGGAAAATCAGCAAACTGACCAAATCTGTATACTACTTTAACAAATATGAATATTTTAATATAAAAACAACAATTTAATTTATCTAATTTATACAATACTTTGATACAAGTCTTTATATCTTATTAAAGATTTATATTCATAATAATAAATATCTATAATAATGTAATATATTATATTAATAATGATATTTAGCAAAACGGGAATACGCGATACGAAGTTTGTGAATATAAATTAATTTTAAATTAAACGCCTCTGGGATTCCTCTCTGGATTTGTTTGAAATATTTTAGTCTGACTATACTTTTAAAGTTTATTTTTGTATAATGCGTTAGAGATAGTTAATAAGTCCGTGGGTTTATTTTTGGCGATATAATTTAATCAAAGGCAGTAAAAGCGATATTATTATAATGGTTTTGGTGAGCAATAAATTCCAATTTAGAAAGGTTTCTTTCCAAAATTGCCGCGAACAAAAATCGAACCCGAGATCTAATTTATGCAAAACTACATTCTTACTATTGGGCTACAGAGATCATAGAAATATTCATCATCATCCTCATCATGATTTTACCCATTATTTGTTCACTACTGAATATTGGCTTCCCCCATAGGCTGCCATAAGAAACGCTCCTGAGCCACCTGCATCCACTGACTACCTGCAATGCATTTGAGGTCGTCACTCCATGTAGTAGAGGAGATGTAGTCGATGCCGCCACTCGAAAACATTTTTCCCCATTGATTGTTGATTCTTCGAGCTATGTAACCAGTTCATTGCCACTTCAGCTTGCTTATCCTTCGGGCTACTTTAGTGACTTTGGTTCGTTTGCAGATATCCTCAAATTCTATTACGTAAAGAAACTCCGAGCATAACCCTCTTCATAGCTTGCTGAGTAATTTGAAGTCATATAAAATATCTACATATTTTTATAAATATATGCGAATTGATGGAAGCGGGTAACAGGAAAGTTTGGAGGGAAGGGAAGTTTGTTAGTAAAGAAGACTAAGGTTCCTATTGCTATCAACTTGGAAATTATTATATTGAATTAAGTAGGTCTATTCATCACGATGGGGTAACCGGCCTACATTCATTGACATACTAAAAAAAAAAAAGAAAAATAAAATACCATTAAATACAAACTACCAAACTGTGTTCAGAAAGCAGTTGACAAGAAGAATTTGTATATACATATTTATATGTGTTTATTTACTATAGTTTTAAACAATTTTTGTTGGACATGTAATTTTTCAATGAAAGCCGGTCATCTTTCTTCCCGACATTACCCACATCAACCTTATCCTTAAGCTATTTTATGACCTGTCATTTCTAACATGTCAGTCAGCAAATTATAGTATATAGTTTTTTGAAAAACCATCACGAACGTATTCAGGACATACGAAGTTTTTATTATTTGGAAAATTGGAAATAGAGAAAAAAATTGTTCAAATTATTAAATTACATAAAATGAGGCACGTATGTATACCTATATAATCGTAGGTCCTAATTTAAATTGATCGACAATAATGAGAATTTCTCCATCACAGATAAATATTTATGTTTAAACCAATATGATTAAAAGGAAAGGATTAATTATTTGCTTTTCAGTAACGAATGTGCTAAAAAATTACAACTAATTTTAAAAATTCCCTAATCTATAGAATTGCTATGTATTTACCGTATACTTCCGGCATAAATGGATCACCACCTCCTTTCTCGAGGGGTCTTAAGAGTCGATAAAGAAAATTTAATGAGTGTATAAATTCTTAAAACATCACCAAAAATCTAGATGCGACTGTCAACCTGTAAGTATTGGCAAAACCTCCCTCATTGTGAAGGCTTATGTTTAGCAATGAACGGTTAACGACTGATATGTTAACGATGATGACGTGATGAAATGTCTTGTAAAGAAACTCTATAGATTACATAAATAATCATCAAAATTGACGAGCGGGTAGATCGCGTAACATTCGACAAATAAACCTAATCGAATCAAAAAACTACTTATTGTTAAATCGGTAGAAAAGGTTCATATATTTTCATAACGGTGTTTATTATAGGAATAAATGGTTTATGACTTTGTCAATAGTTTCTAGATATGATAATATAGGTATTTCTGATTTATTTGAATGGAAACTGAAGTTATTTGAAATTTATACTAATCTTACGTGATTAGAATTATTTTCTTCTATTATATAAGGAACTTTATTGTTTATAAAGTTAAACTTGAATGTGAGTTTATTTATTATATACTAGCGATCCGTCCCGGTTTCGCACGGGTAGAGAGAATTTTCGAAAATAATATATAGCTTATGTTACTCACTGATAATGTAGCTTTTTACATTTGAAAGAATTTTTAAAATCGGTTGAATAAATTTTGAGCGTATCCAACACAAATAAATGTACAAATAATCAAATGTTACCTATTCATAATATACTAGTGATTCAATCCGGCTTCGCATGAATATCGATTTTTCGAAAATAATATATAGCGTATATTAAGTACTTAGAGATAAAGTAGAATTTTAATAGTAAAATAATTTTTAAAATCGGTCCAGAAGTTTTTGAGTTTACTCATTACAAATATACAAAAATGCAAAAAATTCCTCTTGGTAATATCAGTGTAGACATATGTATGATTATTTCAATGTGTTACTATAATTGTCACATATTTTTTACCACATCTACTCTTTATACGCTTTTTTTTATACCAGTGAGGTGGCAAACAAGCATACGGCCCCCTGATGGTAAGCAGTTACCGTAGACGCCTGCAATACCAGAGGTATTACGCGCGCTTTGCCGACCCTGAAGAAACCTCTTTACCCTCCTCTTGAAGAACCCCGTGCTGTAGTCTCTTGGGAAAATCTCGGCAGGGAGCTCATTCTGTTTTTACCTAATGGTTAGCTGGTATATAATGCCATATGGCATTAAGCTCGCCACTTGTACAAAGTTTTATTGTGCAATAAAGAATAAATAAAAGAAATAAAATAAAACTATGTCACGAAATTTAGTATATACATATATCTACGTTGTTAGTATTTCGGATGAGAAATGACATGGATAGACTTCAATTACTTTTTATTACAATTAATCTAAATATTCGGTTTATATGGAGGAAGGCACAAATAAAAACTAATCTTTACTAATTTGTTTGAATTAGTTTATTACCTTAGAGGGCCTCAACGGATTAACCATTCATTATAAAATTTGGTATACACATACTATATGGGGTGGAGAAGGTTATAGGCTACTTTATATCCCGGTTAGTAAACATATCTAGTATTTCTTATAATAATAACTAATCTAAGACATTGGTTTGAATTAGTATTTTTTAGCCATGATTTCATTTGCGTGACTGGAGTATATTGATTGACCGGGACAGAAAGTAGCTTATGTCCTTGCCCGTCCTATTACATTAAGTATTTGTTGGCCAAATATTATGACATTTGATTAAGTGGTTGAGTCGCTATGAGGTAGCAAACAAACAACAAACAACCAAATTTAAATTCACATTCAC